CTGAGTGCAAATTGGATTACTGTTGAGCGTAAGCAACAGTAAACAAGAGGTACCCACCTGAACTCAGCCTTCCTGAGTTTCTGTAAGGCCTCAGAAAAGGCATGTGTATAGTGCACAGGTAAACACAGGTGACCTTCTGACCTTTATATACAAAAACACAGCTACATTATATATGTATAAAACAAATAAGAAACAAACTTATGATAGGATATTTTTTATTACCTTTCTGGGTCTGTATTGACCCCCAATACAGGTTTGTTCTTATCATACACTTTACTGGCAACTAGTAGCATGGTGCCATCACCTAAAAAATAAACAAGTCTATTAGAATTTACCAAAAGAGAAAATAAGTTAAAACTATCAAGCATAAAAAGGCAAAACCTGAGCTTTACCTCCAGCAGAGATGATGGCATCGGCCCATCGTACTGTGTCCTCATCATACTCTCCTCTTTTGACAATGCGCACCTCAATGCCTTCTTTCCTACAAAAATGAAAGGAGGATGGTTTTGAAAACTGTTTGAAAATTCCTTCAAATACTGTCAGTTTCCATTTCTGATCATCATCTTACTGTAGGCTGTCCACAATCTGTCCAACATTGAAGGTGTGTAAATTGTGTCTCTCCAGAAGTCCAATGTAACTGGATCCTTTCAATGCAAGCTGTGAAGACAGATTAAATATCATAAACAATGGATTACTTCTAAAAGGGGTCCTATTATGCTCTTTTACAAAGTCTTGATTTTGTTTTGGGGGTGTACTAGAACAGGCTTTCATACTAGGTTGTTCGAAAAACACATTATTTTTCAGATAGTTTACATTATTACAACACCTCTCTCCCCAGTCTGGCATGAACGGCTGGAATAGTTCCTGTATCAAATGAAGGCCCGCCTTCTGAAATACGAAATATGCTGTGATTGGTTAGCTGGGCCAGTGTGTGTTGTGATTGGCAGCACTCGGCGCCTGGTCGGGAAATGTCATGCCCCTTACCATAGCCGCCTGCAAGCTTCAGTGTAAATATTGCCTCAAAATCAAATCAATTTGAGCACGATTTAAACCCGGATGATTGTAACCACTCTAAGTTCGTCTGCCTTGGGAAAGCTAGCGTGTCTCCGACATAGTGATAACACTCGTTGCCTTCTCTAGTGCAGCTCAACCAGGTCTCGTCCCATTTGTCAGTATGTGTGATATCACAAATCCCGGAAAATATGCGTTGTAGTCCAAACGAGTCGTTCGTTGTAGTTTTTGAAAAGTGATTTCTGTTAAATAAAATATCTCCTTTTGAATTGGACTTTGAGCTTTGTAACTTTGCAGATATTTTTTATGCTCAAACAGCAACATTACAGACTAACTAAAGTTGAAAAAGTGAAAAAGCATAATAGGACCCCTTTAACACTGTCTTTTCACATTATGTATAATGGGGTTAGTTGGTCTTGGACTTTTGCTGCAGGCATTGTTTGCTGCTGAATTGAACTGACAATAGTACAAGCAAAAAAAAAGGGAAGATAAAATATCTGACTCCTTTTATTAAGAAATATACATTTTCCTATAAAACACTGTCAGTTGAATATTGAAAACAGTAGTGAAGTCAAAAGGATTAGATAAAATGATAGTTTACAAAGTTAACCCGTCAATACATCCAGATATATAAAGATATAATTTTTTATGACGATATTTATGTGTTTATCTAATATCCAAATATAAATATCTTAAGTAAATTCAAATATAGATAGAGGGCGGAGTGAAGCAAGAGAAGGTGTGGAGAGAGAGAGAGAGACAGAGAGAGAGAAAGACTTCCCAATTATGGGAATTTGCGCTCACAATTTATAAACATAACCGCATTACACAGAATAGAGTGCAACGGTCAGGTTTCACAAAGTAAAATTTCCATTCTTTTTCTCCATATGGGAATTAATTTGAATCATAATTTGTAATCCTATAAGGACAGATCTACTGTGAGCTATGAGGTTAATCGATGGTATTTGCTTTTGCTGAAGCCGTCAGCCTGCAATATTTCAACTTATTTTAATAATCACGTTTAACTGTGGAAAAAATACATTACCCATAATTCAGCAAAGAAATCTCCACCATTTAGAAAATTGCAACAAGCTAAATTGTGCCAAAATAACTCTTTAGTGCCCATCCACTCCCATAAAGCATAACAAATTACTTATGCTGAATTTGGAAATGCATAAAAGTGTACTACTCTTACTTTTTCTGCCATTGAAAGATATTGTAAAAATAGAAAGAGTAGAATGCTAGTGGGCGGATCTGAATTCAGCAATCAGTCAGTTTTCATATGCATGACATGACTTAAAATATTTAAATGCATATTTTGCAGTATAGTTATAAAAGTTCAATATTTCTGCATCGTTTTTTATTTAATTACCTATTTGCAATGCTTCATGGGATTGCAGTTTGTAATACTTTTTTTTGTTGTTGTTGCTTCAAATCAGCCCGAAGCTGATTGCTTCATGGCTTAAAACTCTTAAATTAATTTTCTAAATTAAAACATTTTTTATTATTATAATTTTTTTGTTGTAAATCCCTATGAGGAAAATGAATGGGAAAAATAATTCCCAAATCAAGGCTGCTGGAAAAGTGGGTAGGTCACATTTCACTATGCAAATATTACAATGACACCATCGCCAGCGGATAGATTTTGAATGATGAGCATTTTGCAAGGGTTTTAAAGGAAAGGTTAATACACATTTCTTAAATGTTTATTACATTTATGACAATAAAAACACATATAGTACCTAAGGCTATTACACTATTAATACTATTATACACAAAAAGTCTGAAAGAACAATGTGTTAATGCGGAATGTATAGAACTGTGACTTTAATTTGTAGGGCAACCTTATTTGGGTTAGCCTATTTAGCGGGTGTAAATTTCTAAGTAAATAAATAAAAAAAAATTAATTTTAAAGTAAAGTAAAAATCCTGTGGTTAACATTACCTTAAGAGACTTTACGTCTATTTTTATACAGCACCCGCCTGAAAAGCATTAACAAGATAAACCGGTGTGTCTGATAAACAGGTGTATTCGCCTCATCACAAATGTCTGCTTACCAGCTGTTTAAGGTCCTCCTCCGACAGTCCCGCATAGCGATATCTCTGCTGCTCGAATTCATATCGTGTGGTCTTAGTCACAACCGCCACCTTCGCCGGTTTGAAGCCACATTCAGCTTGCGAAGCAACTTTACACACGGCGGTCTGATGAAAACACAGACGACTACAATAGCTCCCAGTGAAACCCGCCACTACTGGATTTCCATAGGAAAGGGATTTCCTTAAAGCTCGGGATAGCATTCTACTACCGCAAAATAGTATTGGGGAAAATGACCAGAAACCACAAAATGAATTACGCAATGAACATTGTCAGTCATTCAGTGCTTGAATCCTGTCCTCATCAGATAGACAGACCACCAGTCTACCACAGGCAATTCATTAAAGGGGCTTTACGGCTTCAGTATGCTGCAGGTGCTTGGCAAAGTAAATAAAAGCAATGCAAATTGTACTAAACACACAAGACTGATTTATCTATGGGGTTGTAAGGTGTTAAAGTAACCAGCAGTATTCAGTGACTGACAGTTAACCTGCTAACCAAGGCAAAGCACCTAATCTTACTTTCTAAACATATGACCACAGCGGCTATGACTGTGATCTGGCTAGCAGGTTGTCACCTGCTGGCTACGTAGTGTCTGAAGCACAGAAGGTCACAATTGCTGAAGGTTTCGTGCACGATGCCCTTTCTAAGTGTACGTGATCAGCTAGCTGATTACAGCTGTCAGTTTTAGCATGACAACCTGGCCACCAGCTCTACCTCTCCAAGCGCGGTGACCGATCACATCTCCGTCTATCTGCCCTCAGACATCTGAACGACGGAGAGCGCAAGTCTAAGCGATCCACGGAAACCTGGCGTTTAGCGTCTGCCTAAATACAGTACTTCAAAACACAAACTTGAGGCTAATAAAAACATCAGATCCCACACTCACGCATGCCGCCATCTTTAAAGCACGTAGCGCTGACTCGGTGGGCGTGGCTTTGGATAGAGTTTTTTTGTGCTAGTGTGCCCATACTGTACTGGCGCACGGAAGTCTAGGTATCTAATACATTTATGGAGAATATCTCAACAATTTACCCTAAGGTTCCAGATAACAATTAAAAAAAAAAAAAAATACAATAACTGAAAACCATGATATTGCTGTAACACTGGCTTTTCCATAGTTGATGACACTAAAAAAGTATATAATAAAAAGTTTCATGACATGTAACATGAGTTCTTGACAAGAGTACTCCGTTTATTATAGCAGTTATAATTAATACTGAACTCAAAGTTGTGTAATGTATCCCCTAGTTTTTTATGTACATCATATTATTTTATGTTTATTGTTTAAGCTCAGTAAAAAGTGTAATTGCTGACGAATGAGGTGGGGATTGTGCGTTCAATTAATTGGATCTTCTTGTTGTATCTTCTTCCTTGCTTGGAAGGAAAGTTTGAGCTTGAAGTTCAAAGTGTCAAATAATGTAGGTGGACGGAAAGTTCGGGAAGACAAGACTCTCCTTCTAAAAACTTCTTGATTGTGGAGAAATAGTGGTACCTTGGATAACTGCCCAACAGGATGGACGAGAGTTCTTGCCAACGACAGTGAACTACATTGAAATCTGAAGCAACATAGTTTATAACCCTACCCTCTTTAAAAATGTCCCTTCTTCCATTAGCCTGCCGCATTTGACAGTGACTTATAGGATGCACAAATAATTGCTATTTGTTATACGGGAATTTTATTTAGGGCTCCACTGTGCTTGTGTTGTAAATTTACGTTGCATTCGATTTACTGTTTAATAGACCAATATATTTGTTTATTAAAAATTGATTATTCATATCGATTTTTCAATTAATTCAAAATGTGTCTCCATGCATCAGTAGTTTTCAGCAGTTTTCGTCAAGACTAGTGAACAATCACTCAAAAATGTACGTGCACTGAAAGTGCAAAGCGGCCCCTCTTGTTATGCAAATTCAATTACATTTAACAGACGCTGACGCACAATAACACTACCATTCAGTAGCGCAGAGACACAAACCCAAGCAGAGAAAATTTAATCTAGAACTCATATTTATTCACGCTGTTGTTACCCATAACTGCAGCGTCACACAGTTGGTCGGGATAGATCAGTGAAGAAGCAACGGGAGGTATTTCCTTTCACTTGAGAAAGAAAAGCGGACAGCACACGGACAGACAGAGACACCGGCGCGCTTGCTTCTGACGTGACGGCGACCGGCTTCAGTTATTCGGTGAGATATTGAGCTACTTATCCTTTGCTCACACAGACAACATTTTGGCACGATTACCATACTGTGAAAAGCGATTATGTAAACAAGTTTGTCGGCTAGTGTCACCGTGATGTCCTTTCTGTGGGCTGTGGGACATTTGTGCTTCGCGTTATGAATACTTTTTTTGTTTAAAGGCTGAAAACCTGGTGTCTTCAATATTTGTAATCTACTTATTTTCAGGCACATGTTGATTAAGGCATTAGTATACAATGAGCCTTGCTGTAAATAAAATATCACTGAAAAATACAAATGCTGACCGCGGGAGGCAACTCTGCCAAAGTGAACGAATAGCAATTATTATTTATATTATAGATTAATTATTTAGTACAATTCCATCATTATTAGTTTTTTTTTATTCTTTCAGGATGAGAGTCATAGCCAAGTGTTGTATAATCAGCCTTGCATATGTAATGAAATTTAATTAAAATTGTACAATTGGAAATTACACTGGCATATAGCTGAAGCAAAGACAATATTACACAGTGACATTTTATAATATTCCACACTGATTATTAGTAACATCATCTCAATGCTTTAAACATAAACTGTGTACAATTATTAAGGGATGAAAGTAATTATTTTATTTATACATTGACAGAACCCTCATTCATCTCGCTTATGGGCGCAACACAGACCGAGCCAACCCTGAAGTTGGGTAAGCTGGAAATGGCACGCCAGAGGCTGCTACAGCGTTATGAGCACCAGCCCTTTGTCTCCTGTCTAGCTGGACTCTACGGCTGCCAGTGGAGGCGTTACCAGCTCACACATGCTCAGCCTGGACACTGCTGCTGCTCTAAGGTGCTCTCATGGTAACTTATAATGCTGAGATCATTTAAAAATAAACTGTTAAGCAAGTTAACTTGATCAAAGCAAATATGCATTGTCACATTAAGAGGAAATTTTGATGCAAAAAGAGTACTTCACAAAAATTCATTTTTTTTGTGTCCTTACATGCCCATGTGTGATTATTCTAGTAATATTTAGGTCATGTTGAAAATGCAATGATAATAAGCCAGATATTTATGCATTATATAATGGCTTAAAAAGGCTTAACTGTCTTTAATCTTGCAGCTGGAGTGTGGCAGTTTTGCTCTGATCGTTCTGACATTTTGTCTCAGTCTGGTGTTCCTGTACTTCTGGAGTGAAGCACAGAATGACTACAATGACTTTGACTGGTTTGTGTCATACATAAAATATACATTTTAGATTTTTTATTGACTTCCATTATTCATTACTGTTAATTTTGTTTAAACAAAGTTGTTTTCCAACCCGAAACATTTTTTTAATAGTTCAATAGACAGAATGACAATGGCACATATACATTTATTTAAAGATCTCTCAACGTAGGTAACTTAACTGGAATACACTAAAGTAATATTTTTTCTGCTTTGCCTCCAGGTTTAATTTTGGTAATCTGGGTTTCTGGTTTCCATGGTCCATAGTTTTGTTGATTCTTGCTGTTTTTTTGTTCACTTATGTTGCTGTTCTGCTGGTATGTGTTTTAAGAATAGTCATTCTCATAACCACTATTTTAATCTTTTTTTTTTTACAAAACCCCACAGTTAAGAAATCACTATTATAGTTTAATGGTCTCCATTGTGACAGATTAAATGTACTTATTGTATCCTAGTTGTCAATGTTTTTATTTATTTATTTTTTTTGCTTTTTATGCATAAAGTCTCCATAGCAAGTTACTAAATGGTCCATCCGATAATTTGCTGGTAAGAAATATGTTTACATTCACAGCTGCTGGCAGTTTGTCTTCTCTCAGAAGGCCAGAGATTATATTTACACTGGTGTCACAAGGTAATTTCATCCACATCTCGTCTATGTAACAAACTAAAAGTCTGAGACTTTATGGTTTATACTTTTGAATTGATGGTATCTCTTTTGATAGATCGGGATCTCAGTGACTGTGATTCTCTCCATTGTGGCCTCATCTATTCTCACAGATTTATGGAGCAAGGAGTGGATGACTGTACTTTTATCTTTTCAGGCATGTTTACTATCATAATATTGATATTGGAGCACATAACTGTGACATTTAATGTTCTCCATTCCCATTTGTCAGGTAACTGCTCCATATCTACACATAGGTGGTGTAGTTTTAATGACTCTATTATCTTGGCCAATAGCCTTGCATGTCTTCCGTATCAATATGAGAGGTAAGGATGAGTTTTTAGGTATAATATATTTCCAATATCCAAAAGCAAATATCCTTTTTTTTTAACCACCCTGATGCATCTTATGTCACAGAAAGTGCATATTTTTATGGTGAATTCTCTGCCTGTGTCTGTTTCAGTGAGAGGGATGTCCATCATTGTGCTGTACATAACTGTTCTAGTGACTCTGTTCTTGGTTCCTCTGGGCATGTACTCCCCCTGCATTAAAGAGAGGAGCAATCTGGGATCAGCTCCTGCTTTAATTGGACACAGGGGAGCACCAATGGTACACTTTGTTATTCTTCTTAGGCTTTTCAGGTTCAAGCACCAACCTTTGAATATTAATGTTTTTTTCTATGTTAATATACTTTCTAGTTTAGGCAAGGCGCCCCAGGTGAATAGGGTAAAAAAAATAAATAGATATTACCATACTTGAATTACAAACATGTTATGTTTAAATATGCAAATTAAGAAATGTATTATTAAATATGCACTAATTTACATACATTTCCAGAACAGAAATCTGAACACTGGAGCCAGGTTCAAAATTCTTGTTTAATTTTGTTGACATGTTAGAGTTAAAGACTTATAAAATAGGGATTTTGGATGTCTACTTTTATCGCTTCATAAATCAGAAAATACTGCCAACAGCTAGAAGAAATTGTATTTTGTTTTAGGAGTAAAGTGTTGTATAAAATCAGGAAAATTATATATTAATATACACAGGAGTAAAACAAAAAATACAACAAATAAAAGCCTGGTTTATTTGGGAATTTATGCATGAAAAAAAAAAAACGAATTTTGAGAAAACAGTCTTTAAAGATATGTATTGTAATTAAAATCTACAAATGCAAATAAGTGCAATAAAATAAACACTTTCCACTTATTTCCACTAGTATGAAAAAAAAATCACATTATGAAAGGCCAAATAACCCAAAATCCTAAAATTGACCAGTGCATGAAAAACGATATTTTTGCCTGAAGTGTCTTGGCTTAATGTGATAATTTGACTCCTAGTTCAGTATTTCTCAAACAATTATATCGATACTGTAGCAGTACATAATTGATCAAACATGCAATGTGCCATGTGCAGACTGAAAAAAAGCAACCCCTTTGTTGTATCTTCTCTCAGCTTGCCCCTGAAAACACCTTCATGTCTTTTGAGAAGGCATTGGCAGCTGGAGCTGATGGTCTGGAGACTGATGTAACTATCAGGTCACTTCTTTTACTCCAAAGAAGCTCCAAAACAAGCCTATTTTATTAATGATGCATCTATATTTGACCAAAAAGTCCTCTATAACATTGTTTTGTCTCTTGCTGCAGTTATGATGGAGTTCCTTTCCTCATGCACGATAAGAACCTACGCAGGACAACTAATGTAAAAGACGTGTTCCCAAACTGGACACACACCTCACCTGCCATGTTTACGTGGAGAGAACTGCAGAGTCTCAATGCTGGATCCTGGTTCTTCTCTGTAAGTCTTCAGGATGCTCTTTTACTCCTGAAAAAATTTGTTGTTATCTTACATTAAACAAAGGGTATTTCAATTATTATTTCCCACTCAGCAAGACCCCTTTGGAACAGCTTCATCTCTGAGCCCAGATGAGCAATTGCAAGCTCAGAATCAGTCTGTATGCACACTGAGGGACTTCCTGGATCTGGCTGCTCAACATGGGAAACTAGTGATCTTTGATCTGTATCGGCCGCCCAGGGGTCACCCTTATAGAGATGCCTGGATATCCCGCACCCTAGACGTCATCCAAAACGAGTCATCCATTCACTCCAGTCAGGTGTGCCATTACACTGTTACATTTTGGGGTTTACTCTGATAAATAAAACAATCTAAAAGTCTTTTCCTAAATAAAGTTACTCTCGTGTAGATTATGGTCTTTATGAAGTTTCTATAAATGATATATTATACATGTCTGTTGTGTTTTTACCTAGGTGTTGTGGTTGCCTCCAGAGCTCAGAGAGTTTGTACAAGAAATCGACCCAGAGTTACAGCAGACAACAGCTGAACTAGCACCAGTGGAGGACCTTCAGCTCAGACACATATCCAGACTCAACATCCATTACAGCTCCATGTCAGAGAAAGAAATCAGGTACTAGTAGATGAGCTAAAATTAAAATTATACATATATATATATATATATATATATATGCAATTATGGAATGGAGCGTGGAATAAAATATTCAAATAATTATCTAACTCATTAAATTACTTTGTTTAGAATCATTTATGGATACTGTATGAGCAAGGATGCATTAAATTGATAAAAAATCGATCAAAATTGAAAGTAAATTTATAATGATAAATTAAATTGTTTCAAGTAATATTCAGTAATATTACTGTTTTTACTGTATTTTTTTATCTAAATGCACTCTATATATACAGTCAAACCAAAAATTATTCAGACACCAGATATAATTTTTGATATTTTTTACTAGTTGGTGCAGGATACTATAGTTCAAAATTATTCAGACATTTTAACCTGACCATGTTTTGCTTAAGTGAATTTGTTCTGACACAGTTTAACTCTGAGTTCTTGTCATATTTTATTACCAATTTCTAAACTATAGCGAATAAACTGTGATAATGTGTGAAATGTTGAAGGTGTCTGAACAAATTTTGGTTTGACTGTGTGTATATACACTGAACAAAATTATAAACGCAACACTTTTGTTTTTGCCCCCATTTTTCATGAGCTGAACTCAAAGATCTAAGACTTTTTCTATGTACACAAAAGGCCTATTTCTTTCAAATATTGTTCACAAATCTGTCTAAATCTGTGTTAGTGAGCACTTCTCCTTTGCCGAGATAATCCATCCACCTCAAAGGTGTGGCATATCAAGATGCTGATTAGACAGCATGATTATTGCACAGGTGTGCCTTAGGCTGGCCACAATAAAAGGCCACTCTAAAATGTGCAGTTTTATCACACAGCACAATGCCACAGATGACGCAAGTTTTGAGGGAGCGTGCAATTGGCATGCTGACTGCAGGAATGTCCACCAGAGCTGTTGCCCGTGAATCGAATGTTCATTTCTCTACAATGAGCCATCTCCAAAGGCGTTTCAGAGAATTTGGCAGTACATCCAACCGGCCTCACAACCGCCGA